ATGTTTCTATGATTCTCCAGGGTTTCATTTTATTCCAGTCTGAGTTCCATTCTCTTGTTTACATGGTCCTATTCCTGAGACACATTCTCCTTTCATCTGGAGCTTCTTTTTCAGCCTATTTTGTGCCTTATGTTCACTGACCTTCAGAACAAGCTGTACCAGTCCAGAAGAGAGCAGCACAGTTTGTTACTGTGTTTTGAGTACATCAGAAGGATCTTATACTGATGCTATTTTTTGCTGATTTGTACTTTCACTCTCCTCATAGTTTCTCCCATCTTTCCCTTCCCTACAACATCCAGAGATATTATCATCACATCTTATGCAGTAGCCATAAGGTGTGGCAGAGCCTAATCTTGGTCACACAACTTTCAGCTGCATATCTAGGCCATCTGGTTCTGAGTTATTTCAGGTAATGAGTTCAAGATAAATCTCCAAGTCATTAAGAATAAATCAGTTGCTGCTGTGTTGCTTTCCCTGTGAACAGGATTCCCAGGAACACATTTCCAAGCTGTTATTAGTGGAAATTGTTTTGTTTTCAATGCGTTATAGTCTAGTCACTTGTCGTGCCAAACTAGTCATGGATGTAGGAATTTTCTACAAATGGACCACTTACATGAAAGTACTGCATCAGGCATCTGTAAGAAACAGCTTTTTCTGCGAGTGCAAAACCCATCTTGCTGCCTACCATCCTCAGACAGTTGGTTTCTACAATTCACCATCACAGCTGTAAACTCACACTTACTTATTGTTGCTATCAAATATAAGTGCATTAGAATCATGAAACACGAACATAAAAGCATAAATCTTGATTTCCACCACCAGTATCCCAATGCATCCGGGGCCAGTAGAATGGGTCTCCTAAAACTGTAGACCAGCTGCTCAGCTAGTGTAAATCAGCATCCTGTGTTGTGAAATGGAAAAATGTTGGTACTACTTAAAGGTTGTTTTAAAGAGGTAACTGAGTAATTAAGTGTTCAACATGTTCGCTGGGAAGGGTAGAGTCTAATTTTCAAAAAAGAAGATTTACGTTATATATGAAAACAACCGACCCTGCTCAGGGGATAAGCACCAGGCAGGCTACGTTGCAAATCTGCACTGCAGGTCTGTAAGAATAGATTAGACCAACATTGCCACACATGGATGGATTCTGTTCTGCTGCAGCAGGACAGGACAAAATGGATGTGCTCCAGAGATCTCGCTGTACAGCATGCACAAATGTGCCTTAGCATTGAATCAGCTATGGGATTAGCCAAATGCATTTGACTCTTTTGCTTCCTGTTCAAGACTGGCCAAAAGATTTGCAAACCAATTTAGACCTATGCTTTAACTTCTGTGCTATTCAGTCAGTTTCTCAGCTTGCACTCGATTTCTGAGCAGAGCAGACAGGCAGTGCTCTTAAATCATTCCAGGGAACTCACCAGCAAATGCTAAATCATTCCAGTAAAAAGTTAATATTCTTTTTCCTGCTAAAATGAGCTATAACTGCTATTTATCTATATTATAGTTAACTACACTATATAAGTATCTGGTTATTACTGTAATACTACATAAAATGAACATATAACCATATATTGTAGTTAGCTATAAAGCAGCTATAATAGCCATGTATGGGTATTTCAGAAGGCATTTTATGGAGTTAAATCAATGGAAAAGCTTCCGTTGGCCTTAATGGAAAATGTATAAGGATTAAAGGGAGAATATTAGTGTATTTTGACATAAGTTAGGAGTAAGAGGTAGGCATGGCAGAGACTTCATTGTATCATATGATGAATTCAGCATATATACTTCCAATAATCAGGATTTTGCTAAGCACCTTAAGCGAAAAATATGTTCTCGGGTTGTGTGCCCAGTCTCCTGCTCTGTGTGCTGTGTTATTCAGGACACTTGGATGGAATTGCTTTGAAGCAGAAAAATGCTTTACAACAGAATAAAGACTGAGACCAAATTTACACACATGTAATTCCTGAGTTATGCCTGTGAGAAGGGTTGTGTTACAGGAAGGCTTGTGAGCACCTCACTCTCAGGGGCACTTTTCAAGACTAAGCGCTGACACTGGAGGAGTGAGGAATGCTCTCTGCTCATACCTGCTTGCAAACAAAGGAAGAAGCAGATCAGAGCCCTTGTCAAATCCCCAGAGAAGCTCACTGACCTGCCAGTGGTCATGGGCAGTTACAAAACACATTATACACCTGTGCCCATGTGTTCTATGGTAGCCAGAAGAAGACACATGTGCAGAGAAATGCTGCCCATCATAAATACTCAGGAAACTTAATGCAGCTTCCTGAGTTTACAGGCATACACTGCAGCTTGTACTGGATGTCTGAGTATTTATTATGTGGGAAGCTAGCAGCTCCAGGCCCTGCTCCCTTGCAGCCCAGCCCACTGCTGTTCCCAGAGCACACCTAACACCCACGGATCATGTTCAGATGCCCTCAATGCTCCACAGAGGCCAAGCTCTTTGAAATTATGTCTTGGTTATGATGGAGGAGGTAATGAGGATGGTGCTGCCATGTTTTTTTTTTTGTTAATGGTGAGGCGGTTAGGGTTCCTGCCCAGTGAAACCTCAATATTAGGCCTTCCTCACCCTGGAGAAGCTCAAGCTGATGTTTCCCAAGCAAGCAGCCTAATGAGCAGGACAGCTGTGGGAGGGGAAGAAACTCAGAGCTTGTTGAAGATGAGCCCTGGTGGAATAAATTATACATTGCTCAAAGGGCCAGAAGGAGAGTGAGCAGGGGCAAAGCGACTGCAGCAATGCTAGGAAAGGGGCAAAGTACAGGTGCTCCATGGCCATTCCTGCCCCTGACTCCTTGCAAGACAGTCCACAGAATATAGATGTAAAAATTCCCTTTATGAGAAGAATACGTGTCTTAACTTCTCAGGTTAAGGATGGCACTAAGGATAGCTATTTCCTGGGCAAGAGCTTTAGCCAGCGGGGACACATAGGACTTCAGGAGGTGCATTACCATAGCCATAAGTTTTAAAAGAAACTGCAATCCTTGATTTTTCTTTTCCTAGGAAATGGTTGCAGGACTTTTCTTCAGGATAAATTTATTGGAGATGGATTCAAAATAAATGAGTATCCCTAGCTGCGTGCCTTGGTGAGCAACCCAGGCTACATGGAGGGACTGGGTTTCATAGAAACATTTGCTAATGTGGATCAGGAGAAACTTGTGGATGCATTCATTCCAACCTCTTGCTCAAAGTAGAGCTACATACAGCAGGTTGCCCACAGACACATCAGCACAAATCTTGGCTAACTACAGAAATGGGGACACCACATCTTTTCCAATTCCAGTGCTTGACCACCCTCAGTATGAAAATTGTCCTTGTATCTACTCAGAAATAGAGAGATAGCCCTGCAAGTCTTGGTGGGATTTGGCTCTCTGGTAGGGTAATTAAATAATATCCCACTGTATCACTTCCATCTATACATTCAGTGTTCCCATGCAGTTCCTAATTCCTGTTTAAACCTGCAGCATCATCCAAGCAAAGAGTCATACAGAGAATAACAAGCTGCTGCTCTTTCCTTGAGAAAAACATAAACCTTAAAGCAGGTATTTCAAACAGTTATAAATCATCCTGAACACCATAAATGTTCCCAAATATAAGCAGATACTCAGTAATGAAAACACAGGAATGGAGAAGCTGTTTATTACGTTGTCACTTTATACAACTAAACAATTTACTGTTTTGTTTGCACTGAGATATGTGTTTTTTTTATAGGTAGCAGCTGTACACCAGCTGTGTGAGTGGTTCTCTCTATAAAGATTACAGAGGGAACGCACAGGCTGCATTGTGGAAAAGGAGTTTCTCCTGCTGAGGAAAGATTTGACAGATGTACTGGATGCTGTCTTTCTGTGATTTATGCAGAGATTCCTCAAAAAACATGGTGTAAATGGGACCAGTCATCTTAACTGCCTCTAAATGAGTTACCACCTTCTTCGATAAATGGACCATGGTCTCAGGAGGTGGCTTTGTGTGGGGCTGGAGCAGGTCCAGAAAGTTCTTTACTGAGTCTGAGCTAATGAGACCCAGCAAACAATGCCTACTCTTTGCAGACACAGAAGCAGTGCTGCACAGAAGCAGCTAAAGTCTCTCAAGGATTGCCTGTAGCACCCAGGGCTGGGTTTGGCCATGCTGGATTTGTCAAGCTCACACATTTATACACTGCTGCATTTGAGCTAAAAGTCAATTTTCATTAAACTCATTGTCTTTTGCCATTTAAAATAATTCATTTTTATCCATTCCTGTGACTAGGACAGTTGCATTGCCTTCTCCATGTTATCTCCTACACTTCATCCCTTAAAAGAAGCTGGAAGCCAGAAGAAAATCTGAGGAGGAAAATGGTGGGCTAAAGCAAATGTTTCCCCTATAGACACTGGAGCTGCTCATGAGAGGAAGAACTCGAGAGCGCGAGCGTAGCAAGATAGCGGCCTCCCTCCTGCTACCAGGCACACATTGTGGAGCCCCATATAGAAGCCAGCATGTCTCACAACTCTGCTGCTGTCCTGCATCTCAGCAGGACTTCACCTCCTCCAGAGTGTTCAACCAGATCCTCTCCTATGCTTTTCTTCAAGGTTAAATGCCAATTCTCTGCCAGCTGAATCAGCCAAGGCTCACTCCCAAATGTTCTCTATTGCCAGTTTCTGACACTTTGAAAAATTAGATGCATGTGATGAAAAAAATCGCAGTGAAATTTACAAAGATTATCTGCACTGTAGAAATAATCAGGCCCAAATTCCCTTATATTAGCACAGCTGAAAATTACAAACAAACTGGTAGTGAAAGCAAGACACTGCAGTCTTCATGATAGCAAGCCTGCCTATAGCTGGTCCAGCTGACAATATATGCAAGCACTTAGCAGTAATCTGCTCTTCAGACTCTGTCTGAGATGATTCAGCACTTAAAGACACAGTCTCCAGTGCTACATTTTTCTTGAGCCAGAACTCAAAGAAACCCAACCCAACATCAATAAAACACACAATTACAAATGCTCTTACCTGACTTATCATGCTGAATGCATTTTTAATGTTACATTTGACTTCATGGTGCTTTAAGCTGCTGCTTGGACCTGTACAATCTCTTAGGGACATCAGATCTGCTGGGTACACCAGCCTCTAGTTTGGTATCTCGGTGTTGGCCAGCACCTGGTAGAAAACGAGAGAGGCCATCATTCCAGCATTGTTTCCCTAGAGTGGCAGAAAATTGCCAGTGCCTGACTCTTAAAACATTTTTTGCTTTCTCTTGTCTATCATTTTAGCAAGTTGCAAATCTACAGTCTTCAGCACTGACAAATCTAGGTTTTGCTTTTCTGCTCTTGATGATACTCATTAATTTACCAGTGCTAAACATGAATGGGACACCACAGCTTTGCTTCATACCTTGCTATAGGACAAGAGCTTTCACAGTTGAGACCTTAGACATAAGACCTCCTCCTAAACATTCAATTCAAGACCTGAACAGTGATCTGACCTCATTAGAGGCTCAGCATCACTTCTTTTCTTCTCACATTCTCCCAAAATATTTCTACTACCAAGCTCTATTTGCTTTTCACTGAGTGCATTCTCCCCAAATTTCCTTAATGCAGGCACTCACCCTGTGCCTTTGACTTCAGCCAGGAAATGTGCCCTGCCCTTCTCTCCAAGGTTCTTTCCTCCACAGCAGGGGTACCACAGCAGCTCAGGAACAGCTGCTGCGCTGCCAGGAATTAGAGGCAGGTGCATTAAAGGAAATTGATCCTTGTTTCCTCCACATTCTAACGATGAAAGAGCTTGGTATGCTGTTGAGCTAGACCTGGAGCAGGAAGAAGAACTGTCCAGAGAAAGTCAGCACAGAAAGCTGGGAGGGCAAAGCACCAAAGCTGTCCCAAGCTGAACTCTTGTCACTGATTAGTCATTTGCATTTATTTATGCTCATTTAAAAAATAAAATTAAAAAATAAATCTCTGCACTCAAAGGTAGAAATGATGAAAACCTGTAAATAAATAAAGAACTCTAAAAGGAACCACTTGGGATATATAACTTCAACTTGTGATTTTTATTTTTTTTTTAATTTTCCTTTTTAATTATCTTCTTCAGTAGCTGGAAGAAAAAACTGCCAGAAGGCTGAGCTTTTTCTTCCCTTCTGCAACAAGCAAATACACATATTTGTCTGTCATTCTTCTGTAACTTTTTCTAATCAATCATTTTGTCACCTTGTAAACAATTTAAGTGGCTAAAAGGAAAACTGAATTAACAGAAATTATTCTGCCATTACTTAAAACTCCTCCTGTTTCCATTGTAATCCTTCCAAAGATACGGGAACTTTGAGAAGATACAGAATAACAAAGTAAGGCAGGAAGAGAGAAGTTTAAAACAAAAGCAACTAGAGAAAAAAAAATCTTTTAGCACTACTTTTCCTCCTGTTATTGTCTGATGGAAGTGAGTAAATAATAGTTTTATAACATTCGGTAGAGTTGAATCAGAAAAATGTCCACCCAATAATTAGATTTACTCTTTTTCTAAAATAGGATAAAGAAATCTTTATTTAAAATATCTATGAGCCCAACTGACAATTTCTAATCCCAACAAGAAAAATGGATCAGAGCAGTTCTTGATCTGCTCACGTCGATCCAGATTTTGCAGTTGTGTTAGAAGCTTGTGCAGTTGTGTACCATAGCACTTCTCTGGCCCAAACTGTGCTGTGTACATTTTGTATATTCCTCCATACCGATGTGTGAATATATATATATATATTCATGCATACGTACTTGCAAACATTTGCATATTTATAACTATCTTTGCGTTTGTATATGCATAGATACATAAAAGAACTATGAATTGATCTTTAAATTAGAAATTAACATGAAAAAGTGCTACCTGCTTCAGGGAGGTGAACGGAAAACAGATGTCAATCTCCTTCCATGTTTCTTGCTGCACTTCCAGCTTCTCGCTCTGTGGTTTTGGGATGGAAATCTGCAAGAACTCCAAAACTTCAGAGATTTTAGAAGAGGACAGCAGTTTGTTTCTTTTCAGAATTTTGAAACAAATTTGTATGTATACTTGTTGAGATTTTTAGTCAGAAACTATTTACTCCAAACACAATCTGAGACTCCAATATACTACAGTAACAAGACATAGAGTGAAGCTACTGAAGTATATTGTTAGATCTGGAACATCTCATGTTTTTCTATTTATAAAAGACCATATATACCCAGTGCGTATTTGCAACCAGTGTAAGTCCTCCCCATTGCCTTCAGAAAGTTTTGGCTAGCTTAAAGTAAAACTATAGTATGTACTGAAAACAAGGGAGGATGGGGAAAAAAAACCCGAATACCAACCAAATGCATGGACTAAACCCAGAAATCTCAGCTGTAATCTAGTGCCTGCTTTCATCTTCACTTTTTCCTCTTTGTTCTCACTTTTGCTGGCCTAGAAATAGCCTTGGTGATGATGCAAAGTTTCATTTCTGAATTTTGAAGCCAGTGTAATGTCTTTTATAAGATAACATCCTCAGTCACCTCTGCATCAGTACACGCTGAGACATTTTGTGGATTTAAATGTGAAGGAGTCAGAAGCCTGAAAGAGCTGGGTTTGTTAACGAGTCAACAGCCTCTTACACAATATTTCCAGTCTAACCTGAAATGGATAGTACTAGGAATTGCAGTGGAAAGCAACTGCTTTCTGCTAACAGTTTCTAGAGAGAATTTGCAAATGGTGGAAAAGGCACTCTTTGTTCATGCTGTATGCTAGAATCAATTTATTGCATATTGCATATGTAATAATACTGCACATTATTGTTTCAAGACATGCTGCTGTTCTTTTTGACTGCCTTGTGCCTCTGCAGTTCAGAACAACCATGCTCCCTTCCAGTTGGTATGAATAAGTTTCAGCTCTCTCCTTGTTCTTCCTTCCCCCTCTGGCAGGCTGCAGAACACTGGCCTGAGGAGCAGACGTGACTGCTACTTACAGTTCTACAGCAGTCCCAACCCAGCCTCAGCCTTGAACCACCTGAACACTGCTGGTCTTTGATGGGATTAGTATCAAGGTGCCCACAGTTGATTTGATATCAGCTGAGCAGCATTTACTTCTACAGCCCTGGCTCAGCTTCTATCTTACCAAGAATTGTCAAAAAAAAAACATGATCTCTGTCCCACCTGAAGTAGAGCCTCAGGGAATTTAGTACCTGTACCCATGAGCCCTTTCTGAATGTGATAATGTTGATATCTGGTACCATTCCTTCATCTCTTTTGTAAAGGCACTTCTGTGCTGGGAACTGCATCTTGACTGGGAGGGCTATCTGTGAGAAGGGAGAAGAGTTGACAGAAAAAATAAGAATTAACAACAATTACTCTGGAAACAGAGCTTGCATTTTTTCCTGCAAACAGTACGATACTTACCTGTCATTCAGGCATTGAAGAATGACGGTTCTAGAGATGAGCACTGTTCTCAGGAAAGTCCCCTTTTCCCTCATTTTCCAAATACTGCTGGCTTTAATGTTGCACCTGGCCATAGCATTGTACCTATAATGTTTTATCTGCTTCTACAGAAGTCACTGAAGGCAAGTTAATTAAAATAGCTTGAGGAGAGCCTGGGAATGATGATTAGGCCTAAAGTTCAACAGGGAGCCTGCAAGAGAAACAGCACTGACGTTCTTGTTAAACCCCTATTTATCGATGCCTGCATTGCATCAGCTGGGATTTCTTCATTCTATCATTTGCAATAGATGAAGAATCATGATTGGACTGGGTGCTATGGTTAAGTCTGATTTTTTATTTATTTTTTAACTCATTAATGCAAGATATTTGAATTTCCAGTAGTGAAGGAACATTAATAAATTTTTTTTTGATGCCTCAAAGGCTGAGCCCCCTGAATAGTTACCTCTTCGTGAAAGGCAGGGAGTTGCAGCGCTTCTGCAGTAGCTGACGTCTTCAGCAGTGCAAAGATTGAGAATATGTAAGGAATGGGTCAAGAGAGGAAAAGCAAGATTACCCCATTAAATTACCATCCTCTTAAAGATGGCCTCATTCTTCTATGTACTCTTCACGCGCATATTTGTTTGGAATCTTTCCTACGGAAATTTGTGAAATGCAAAATATTTTTAATGGGAAAAAAATGTATCATGTTCCATGGATGTTTATTATTCTGCACTAGAGACAAAGCTGAGGGTAGAGTTGGTGTAAATCCCTGAAAGTCAGTGATGACAAATTTATTTTCCTATTCAGTGTTTTTAATAAGTATTTATAAGAGCAGATGGTGGGCAGCAGCAGAACATGTTCAGTTTTATCGAGACATTTGGCTAACAAGCACAGACTAAAATGCATTTCTTTCCTTCTTGACTTAATAATTTTAATTAGAGGCAAAAGGTGTGGTAGCCTCATTGTCTGGAGGCATATGTGCAATATTGTGTTGGTTGGGCAGGGCTGGGTGGGAGAGAATATCGCTGCCTTTAATGAAGGGTGGTGCATATCTATGCAATCTCTATTTTTTTTATTGTCTGGTAATCTAAAAAATGCAAATTCCAAATCTGCTATTGCACAACACACAGAGAGATACACTGAGGCTATGCTTTCAGTTAGTCAGAGAACAAAAACAGGACTACAGAATGTGTATAAGTAATACACACTGTCACTGGAGAAGAAAGGCTTTTTAACAAATAGTGGGACATACAATTATTATCTTGAGGGGGAATTTCAAAGCTCCCCATGGAACTTAGCGGTCTCTGGAACTCCTTTGCTATTTAAATGCTTTTGAAAATCTCACTTATTAAGTACTCATTTTGAACTTTATATGCTCCCTCCCTAAGGACATCAAAGTGTTCTGGAAGTAGTAATTAAGGATCATATGCTCTAATGGTGTTCTGGTCATTTAACCTACTTATCTCTGGTCGTATTCTAGCTATTTTCCAGATGGACTTACCCAGGCTGGGATGTGCCTTTTGTCCTTTACCAGTGAGCCAAGCCTCAGCCCCAAGCTGCTTCTCCTGTGCTCGGATAGAGCAGTGGGATGTGGGGAGCATAACAAAACTGGGCTGGTCCCACAAGGAAGCACTGAAATGAGATTTGTACCCTGAGCAGCCCTGCCGCACCGTTCTTACTGAATGCTCCTTCAGTGTGAATGGGTTATGAAAACATTCAAAATGTCATCTTGTGAACGTGTATTTTCTTAGAGCAGTGTGCCTCAGACATGTTCCACCAGGACCTAAACTGCCCTCATGTTCTGCTCTCATAGTTCTCTTGAAGATGGTTGTCTGGTATACCGTCATAAAAGAAATGTCATGGCATATAAGTGGAGTACTTTCTAACAATAAATCTGCTATTGACTTCAGATTTTCCTACATGTAAGTATGAAACTTTAAATGGATGATTTATTTTGTAAGGTTTTATTGAAGATTTTCCCTCACTGACTGAAGTTTCCTTCTTGAGGACAGTTTAAATAGTTGTCCTCCTCCTGGCTGTAAAAGGGCAGCACAGCTCTATCAGTCATTATCTCATGGCCTTTGATCAGTGCTGTTCATCCTACTGTGCACTGCTACCGGTGTTACCTGTGCTGATATCTCTTTCCTGGGATTAGTGCCATTTCTGAGCTGTATTTCCAAGACTGTATTACCAAGACTTATGAGGTAGCCTGAGTGCCTGATCTAGTGGTTGGCAACCCTGCCCACAGCAGGGAGTTGGAGCTCAGTGATCATGAAAGTCCTTTCCAACCCAAGCCATTCTATGATTCTATGAGACAGAGCATTCATCTCACCAATCCAGCTGCTGGAGGTTTCCCATGCAGTGCTTGAGGGGGAGAGCAGAGGTTTTGCTCTCATGCACAGCTGTCAGCCAGATGCAAGTCACATCAGAAGTCTGTAAGGACACCACCTTGAGGGATTAGTGTTCTAGTCCTTATGGTCTGTCAGATAAACGATATTTGGTTTGTGTGATGCATCACAATACATCCATGCCCATGTATAATATATATTTTCAGATTTTAAGTACAATCCTCATTATCAGATATGCTGGAGTAGTGAAAACAGAATAATTTTACTTTCTTTTTCTGTCACAGACCTTTCCAAATATCAAACATATGCTTAGATCATAGAAATGCTGGAGGAAGAGGCAGCCAGGGCGTCCTGTGATAACTCCCTGCAGCAGTCCCTGATGCAGGATGCCTGCACTTCAGGAAGTTCCAGAGCTTGATGGTCTGCAGTAAGCCAGGGCAGCAAAGAAACCAGGGCCAAACACTGAAAGAGATGTGTGTATGGTATTCCTAATACCAAACTGTCTGCACTTACCAAGGCAGCACAATGCTGCTGCTTACCTGTGCTGCTGCCTAAGCTGTTAGAAGACCAAGGATGACTGCAAACAAGTGAAAGACAGATGAGAAAAATTTAATAGCAAAAACCCAGAGTTTTGACTTCATTTTACTTTCTTTTTTTCTGTTTTGGGGGATGGTATCTAAACATTGTCTATGTGTTAAGATGTGTGCAGACACTTATTTTCAGAGTTTTCAGGTGTTATGTGCAATGCTGTCAATGCGTGCTGTTTTATGATGTTGGATCAGCAAACCCTGCTGGCTTTTATCAGGTCAGCACCTGATCCTCCATTGAATTGTTGTGGTTTGGTGGATGCAGCCTGGCATTAAACTGGGTACACAGGTAGGACTGAACTCCTCCCTGGCTTCTTTGCTATCCCACAGGCCGTTTTCTTTCTGGGAGATGCAGTCCCACTCTCCTCTGACAAAAGACTTTGTATTCATAGAGAAGTTTTACCTGCTCACCCCTTCCCTCTGCTGGACCTCAAGGAGCATAGAGCTGGGCAGGCTCCAGTACTCTGTGAAACTTTTCTGGAAAACCAGGATGTACCATGCATGGGGAAAGAAAAGAGTGGAGGGTGAGAGCAGAGGCAGGTCAGCCTCCTGCAACCAGAGTTTCTCGAGTGTCTGAATTGGCTGAACATGCAAACCCCTGGTTATGAAAAATGAGAAGGACCGCTCTTTTGAACTGTGTCTGTTGGTTATATTTGAGTGGATCAATGTGCTAAAGCAATCTGAACTCAAAAACATTATATCATTTGATATTTTAAAAGATTTGCAGTGCCTATAAGGGAATTTTTTGGAAGGGATGCTGTTTGACAGACAGAACAGTCTGTGTTGCACAGTTTTTCTGTTTGTACCTGCTTGTAAGACATTGTAATACATAAAATAGTAATTGTAGATATTAGCACAGATATCTGGAATCTAGATAAGCAAAACCAGGTTAAAGTACAGTGCACCACAGTTAATTGAGGAAGTGCTGATGACATTTTCTGGACTGTTATGCAAGAGGCCTGAGTAAAAGTCATTCTTGCAAAGACCCCTGGCTTCGTGATTCCTGACAAGGGCAAATTTTTGGCAGAATATGTTTTCTGCACAAGCTTTGAAGGCCTATTTCTTTAAGCAGATAACTTCAGATGGCTCCTGTAGGCAGACTGACACATACATGGAGGTTTGGAGATCTGATCTCAAGTGGCACAGCTGGCACTGCTCTGCTGCCTGGAGAAGAAGTGCTTTGATTACATGTGGTGAGGTGCTGGCCCCGAGCATCCAGACTGCTTCACCCTATTGGTCTGAGATCAAAAACACAGATTTTGTTGGTTTACAAGGGTAGGAAGGATTTATCTCCTGCAGGGTGTGTCCAATCAGTTATGTTTCATAGATTCTGTGTACTGTTTTTGAAAAGAGAGAGAAATGGTTGGCTAAGAACAAACCTGTCTTACCCCATCTAATCACCCGGAGAAAAAAGCTGTTGAAAACAAATTTGCTTGTTCCTGTGTGGCAATGTATCAACACCAGACCTTAAACCTTCCTGAGAATCCAGCAGTCTTGCAATCGTTTTTGTTGCTTCTCTTGCTGATTGCTGCCATAGGTCAGTAAATAAGTATCTTCCCAGCCATAAAGCTGGTGTGGAGGAAACTGAGCTTTGAATGGCCTCCTTCCTTGCCCTTCCGCCTTTAATTGAATAATATACTATTCTTGAATAGATCCACTGGCTTCTACCCACTGGTATGAATGTGTCAGCTCAGCCGTGAGTGCTGATCCACACACTGCTGTGTGAGAGACAGGGCAGTACCTGCAATTTCATTCTAATGTGCAATGAACACAAATCATCTGACTTTGGATCAGGAAACGGAAAAATATGCAAGTATGAAGATAAAAACCCAAAGCACTAAGTTTTTACTAGCTGTCTGTACAGATATAGGGATGAGCGAGCACTGTTAGCACGAAGAATATTCACACTGGGGGCTGTCAGTTCCAGACCTTGGCCCTTCTGCTGCTGCTGCAGAGGCTGACTGATGGCACAGGTGATGGGCCCATCACAGCACTGCCAGAGTGGTCTAAAACTGGCTATGGACTGTCCTGCAGGCTGCCAGCTGTACCCTGGCTGCTGCTTTCCTGCTTGCACTGCCGCTAAGGAGATACAAAGGCTCTCAATACCTACTTGCTGGCCACTTGCCTTCATTGAAACTGGGCTCTTGGAGCTGCTCTGAGAGCCGCCAAGAGAACACTGAGCTCCATTAAGTTCCCCATACTTAATCCACATATGTCCATGCACACATTCTTTGTGCAATTTCTACAGCGCTGCAGAACTCTTTTGTTTTCCTCACATATATGTGATGTGCAGCTTTGCTTCTGCCATCATCTCACAGTTTTACTGTGACTTGAAAAAAGAGTGTGCATGGGGCAGGATGGCTCACCAGCAGTTCAGGGAGGAGAACACTGCAAAACTGGATTAAAACAACTCTGAAGGGTGAGCAGTTGAAAGCTGGCAGTTAATTTTTGGTGTCTTGTTTAGCACATATCTCCACAGAACCTCTACATGTGTGTTAGCAAAGTGAATCTCTAGGCAAAAACCTATGCATACAAAGCACAGAGCAGAATTCCCATGTACAATTCATTTAATTCCATTAGCCAATTTCCCAGTTTATTTGTCAGAGGGAAGCCTATTTACAAAGACAACTTGAGTAAATATGATTGATTGCCTTGTCAGCCCCTGTAATTTCACTTTTTAATGTTGTCATTTCAGATAAGTGATTTCAGACATCAGAAGGAATGGAAAGAATAAAGAAGCAACCGTTTGACTAAGATTTATATCAGATGTACATCAACAAGAAGAGTTAGGAACCATATTTGGGACTTAAAAGACTTATGGAAAAAGAGTGCTATATAAAAAATGGTGGGATGATGTATATTCTCATATGACAACTGTTATTCAGCAGTTGTTATTATGTGATATATGAGCTCCATGATGAAATCATACGAGGAATATTTCCTCATGTTTTACACAGAACTGTATAATGTATGTATGCGTTCCTCATGTCCAAAGCATTAATTAAATCCTATTAAGTAAACTCTGTATTTTGGGAGGCCGAATTTAACTTGAGTAAAGCATAATAGTCATTAAGTTCATTTGCTTTAATTTAGAAAAAGCTCCTATCATAAACATCTATTGCTAGTACTCAAAAAGGTGTAAAGTATGTTTTGGCAATTTGATTGCAAAAGCACTAAACAGTCTATATTCCCCCTCCAAGCCTTTCCCCTCAAAAAGAAGAAAAAGTGCAATGTTTCTATAGAAAAATGACATGAACAAATCAGAATATTTTGAAACATATCTTAAAGACTGAAAATTTTGTGGGTTTTTTTTTTTTTCAGTGAAAAGACACTACTCAGTGCTCCCTCTCAGCCCGTATTAATTTTTCTGTCTGCATAATTATTCCCACTTTCAATGGCTCTTATTCAAGTTCCAGATGCACAGATGTGTCCAAATGAAAAAAACAAAGCGTGTGGATCATGCACTCTACAAGGAAAATGAGAAAACTAATGTCCTGAGCAGCATCAGGAATGATTTTGAAATGATGGGGGTCTGCAGAGCACATATAACACATGGTACACATGAGAGGCTTTTACATAAGTCACTATGCAATTGCTGAGCTGTTAACAGTGGTAAAACTGGGGAAGGGAGGTCTATGATTCTTACTAGAAAAAGGCAAATGTTCTGTCCATTGTTAAGCAAAGCAGAAAGGAGGAATCAGGAGGAGGAGGAGTATACAAGTCAGGTTCACTTCAGTTCCTGGAAAGATCATGGATCTTGTCCTGAAAATTATTTCCAGCCATGTATGGATGTAAAGGCAAATCCTCCTTGACAAACCTGACTGCAGCCTGTGATGAAATGATGGCCTATGCTGATGAAGGGAGAGGGTTGGACGGAGGATGTATTGGTTTCAGTGATTATTTTAACGCTGTCAGACACAAGTGTAAAAACCAAACTCCCCTCTTAGATATGGCAGATGGTATGATATAGGATACAGAGGGATACAGCCACAAACTGGAAGTTCAGAATGGACATTACAAAAACCAATTATCAGTAGGAGGGTAGTGCAGCATTGGAAGAAGGTACCTGGAAAGGCTGTGGCGCCTCAGCCTGTGGATGTTTCCAGGTCTCAAGAGTGTCTCAACTGACCTGATTAACCAGCAGTCTGCTTGCAGAGGAAGGCTGGAGTTGATGGCCTTCATGGGCATCTTTTGACCAATATTTCTGTGACTATCATTTGTCTTTGATCTTCCAGCAACAGTTCAGCAAAGTGAGCAGTAAGTTACTCCAAGCATGATATCTTTATACCTTTGTGTGACACAAGGGCAGCCATGCAGGTAATCACTTGTTTGGACTTTGTCCCTGCTAATGCAGTTGTGTCACTGCTTGTCAGCCTTCACTAATGTTTTTTATGGGAGTGTGAACTGCCAAAGATTGCTATGCTGGACTGAGAATGAGGTGAGCAAGGAAAGGAGTTAGATCTCCCTTATCTCTTGTAAGTTAAAATTCACAACATTGAAGGGGGGGGGGGCAAGCTTCATCAACCTCTCCATCACAGAGGCAGTGCCTCCCCAACACAAGTTTGCAGGAAGGGCAGGGCTGGGTGGAACTGGGCCCATCCCTGCCTGGCTCCTTCCACTCCCATCCCTGGCCACCATGTCTGCACTGGCACGCAACAGGCTGCACACACTGCATATGGCCCCATGGCCAAGAGGGAGAACAGATGGAACTCGATGTCCAGATGTGCTTTTTAGATTGGTTTGGGCAACATAACTCCCCATGCTTGGGGAAAGCCATGAGGTGACAATGCAGCAAACAGGAAATGATTCACCAGTTTTCAGCACAGCGCTCAAACACTATTTGTGCTACAACAAATACACTGCTTAATTTTGCTGGAGAAGTTGCTTATAAAATTAACAGCAAAAATCATTTTGTACTTTAACCTTTGAAGAGCTACAAATGTGTATTTTAGATTGCCCAGATATCGCCT